CCAGGATAACAGAGCTATGATTTTTACAAGCAGATAGATACACTTAGTGATATCTTTACCAAAGCCTGGTGGCCCCATTCCTGATTTTTTTTCTAAAAATTCTGGAAACTTGGATTAGTCAAATATTTTTTTATTTATTAAGGATGGTTTTAGCTTCAACATACTGAAGTTTAATGGAGAAATAGCTCAGGATAAAGGAGCTATGATTTTTACAATCAGATAGACACACTTAGTGGTATCTTTGCCATGGCCTGATGGCCTCATTCCTGATTTTTTTTCTAAAAATTCTGGAAACCTGGATTAACCAAATATTTTTTTGTTTATTAAGAAAGGTTTAAGCTTTAACATACTGAAGTTTAATGCAGGAATAGCCCATGATAAAGGAGCTATGATTTTTATAACAGATAGACACACTTAGTGGTATCTTTGCCATGGCTTGATGGCCTCATTCCTGATTTTTTTCTAAAAATTCTGGAAACCTGGATTAACCAAATATTTTTTTATTTATTGAGAAAATTTTTAGCTTCAACATACTGAAATGTCATGAAGAAATAGCCCAAGATAACGGAGCTATGATTTTTACAATCAGATAGACACACTTAGTGGTATCTTTGCCATGGCCTGATGGCCTCATTCCTGATTTTTTTTCTAAAAATTCTGGAAACTTGGATTAACCAAATATTTTTTTATTTATTAAGGATGGCTTTAGCTTTAACATACTGAAGTTTAATGGAGAAATAGCCCAGGATAAAGGAGCTATGATTTTTACAATCAGATAGACACACTTAGTGGTATCTTTGCCATGGCCTGATGGCCTTATTCTTGATTTTTTTTCTAAAAATTCTGGAAATCTGGATTAACCAAATATTTTTTTGTTTATTAAGGAAGGTTTAAGCTTCAACATAATGAAATTTTTTGGAGAAATAGCCCAGGATAACCGAGCTATGATTTTTACAATCAGATAGATACACTTAGTGATATCTTTACCATAGCCTGGTGGCCCCATTCCTGATTTTTTTTCTAAAAATTCTGGAAACTTGGATTAGTCAAATATTTTTTTATTTATTGAGGATGGTTTTAGCTTCAACATACTGAAGTTTAATGGAGAAATAGCTCAGGATAAAGGAGCTATGATTTTTACAATCAGATAGACACACTTAGTGGTATCTTTGCCATGGCCTGATGGCCTCATTCCTGATTTTTTTTCTAAAAATTCTGGAAGCCTGGATTAACCAAATATTTTTTTATTCAATAAGGAAGTTTTTAGCTTCAACATACTGAAATTTCATTAAGAAATAACCCAAGATAACGGAGCTATGATTTTTACAATTAGATAGACACACTTAGTGATATCTTTGCTATGGCCTGATGACCTCATTCCTGATATTTTTTCTAAAAATTCTGGAAACTGGATTAACCAAATATTTTTTTATATATTAAGGAAGGTTTTAGCTTCAACATACTGAAGTTTTATGGAGAAATAGCCCATGATAAAGGAGCTATGATTTTTATAATCAGATAGACACACTTAGTGGTATCTTTGCCATGGCTTGATGGCCTCATTCCTGATTTTTTTTCTAAAAATTCTGGAAACTTGGATTAACCAAATATTTTTTTATTTATTAAGGATGGCTTTAGCTTTAACATACTGAAGTTTAATGGAGAAATAGCCCAGGATAAAGGAGCTATGATTTTTACAATCAGATAGACACACTTAGTGGTATCTTTGCCATGGCCTGATGGCCTTATTCTTGATTTTTTTTCTAAAAATTCTGGAAATCTGGATTAACCAAATATTTTTTTGTTTATTAAGGAAGGTTTAAGCTTCAACATACTGAAATTTTATGGAGAAATAGCCCAGGATAACGGAGCTATGATTTTTAAAATCAGATAGATACACTTAGTGATATCTTTACCATAGCCTGGTGGCCCCATTCCTGATTTTTTTTTCTAAAAATTCTGGAAACTTGGATTAGTCAAATATTTTTTTATTTATTAAGGATGGTTTTAGCTTCAACATACTGAAGTTTAATGGAGAAATAGCTCAGGATAAAGGAGCTATGATTTTTACAATCAGATAGACACACTTAGTGGTATCTTTGCCATGGCTTGATGGCCTCATTCCTGATTTTTTTCTAAAAATTCTGGAAACCTGGATTAACCAAATATTTTTTTATTTATTGAGGAAATTTTTAGCTTCAACATACTGAAATTTCATGAAGAAATAGCCCAAGATAACGGAGCTATGATTTTTACAATCAGATAGACACACTTAGTGATATCTTTGCCATGGCTTGATGGCCTAATTCCTGATTTTTTTTCTAAAAATTCTGGAAGCCTGGATTAACCAAATATTTTTTTATTCAATAAGGAAGTTTTTAGGTTCAACATACTGAAATTTCATTAAGAAATATCCCAAGATAACGGAGCTATGATTTTTACAATTAGATAGACACACTTAGTGATATCTTTGCTATGGCCTGATGACCTCATTCCTGATATTTTTTCTAAAAATTCTGGAAACTGGATTAACCAAATATTTTTTTATTTATTAAGGAAGGTTTTAGCTTCAACATACTGAAGTTTTATGGAGAAATAGCCTATGATAAAGGAGCTATGATTTTTATAATCAGATAGACACACTTAGTGGTATCTTTGCCATGGCTTGATGGCCTCATTCCTGATTTTTTTTCTAAAAATTCTGGAAACTTGGATTAACCAAATATTTTTTTATTTATTAAGGATGGCTTTAGCTTTAACATACTGAAGTTTAATGGAGAAATAGCCCAGGATAAAGGAGCTATGATTTTTACAATCAGATAGACACACTTAGTGGTATCTTTGCCATGGCCTGATGGCCTTATTCTTGATTTTTTTTCTAAAAATTCTGGAAATCTGGATTAACCAAATATTTTTTTGTTTATTAAGGAAGGTTTAAGCTTCAACATACTGAAATTTTATGGAGAAATAGCCCAGGATAACGGAGCTATGATTTTTACAATTAGATAGATACACTTAGTGATATCTTTACCATAGCCTGGTGGCCCCATTCCTGATTTTTTTTCTAAAAATTCTGGAAACTTGGATTAGTCAAATATTTTTTTATTTATTAAGGATGGTTTTAGCTTCAACATACTGAAGTTTAATGGAGAAATAGCTCAGGATAAAGGAGCTATGATTTTTACAATCAGATAGACACACTTAGTGGTATCTTTGCCATGGCCTGATGGCCTCATTCCTGATTTTTTTTCTAAAAATTCTGGAAACCTGGATTAACCAAATATTTTTTTGTTTATTAAGAAAGGTTTAAGCTTTAACATACTGAAGTTTAATGAAGGAATAGCCCATGATAAAGGAGCTATGATTTTTATAACAGATAGACACACTTAGTGGTATCTTTGCCATGGCTTGATGGCCTCATTCCTGATTTTTTTCTAAAAATTCTGGAAACCTGGATTAACCAAATATTTTTTTATTTATTGAGGAAAATTTTAGCTTCAACATACTGAAATGTCATGAAGAAATAGCCCAAGATAACGGAGCTATGATTTTTACAATCAGATAGACACACTTAGTGATATCTTTGCCTTGGCCTGATGGCCTCATTCCTGAAAATACTAGTTATCAATAATTATCTATAAATAAGCTAAATAATATTCTTTGAAGCTTGAAATACAACAACTAACTCCAAGATATCACATCTTCCTAGCAATCCCAGCCACCTCCTACAAACAGTCCTACACTACCTACATCACCACCGGCACTGACACGACACACTTTCAAAAATATCCAATATGCAATGTTCAAAAGATATTCAGTGTTGGCACAACAACAAACAAATGTTACTGGAAATTAAATAAATACAGACACTGGCTTTATTAATTTCAAATGCAATTAAAACATTTTCCAAAACATATACAACAGTTCCAATTAAACCACGACAAGCACGTACAAAATGCCGCATTGTCATCCACTTAACACTCAAATTTGGTATAAGTTATTAATAAACCGGGGGTGTCAGTTCATAATTAGAAAAGTTTCGTTTTAACAATTAAATTTTGTAATTATTACTTCTCGTTTGGACAAGGGTTTGATAAGAAACTTTTCTTATTTAAGAATAAATATTTTGATTGAATTATTTTCTCTTGCCAAAGAAATTTCAATACGGAGACTTTCTGAACTTTTATAAATAATTGGATCTCTTATAAAAGATGTTCCTCTGGGTCTAGTAGGTATTATACTTTTAGAGTAGTATTCCTTGCGAATTTTTTAATATTTATGAAAACTGTCCTAATATCAAGAAGAGAATCTTGTCATCTTCAGTTAATAAATTTATATTATAATACCAAATATGTCAGAGCGAGTTTGAATATTTTTCTTTGGGGCAAATCGATTTTACTTGTAATAGCATAAAGAGTCTAAATATATATTATTTATTTTAAAACTCCTAGCCTAGATAGAGTCTTATAAATAAATGGTTCGAATTCATAAAGAATCAGAAAACATCTAATAATAATTTATATTTTGAAGCGAATCAACTCATATTTTCTACTCGTTCAATATAGAGTTATAAACCCTTTAAAATCGTAATGCCCTTCTATGTAAATTTGACATTAAAACAGATGGGCCTTTCGTGTGCAGAATTTTCCAGGCTGGTATACAATTTGTCTTATATAGCTAACTGTGGAAATTTGTGTACACGAAGTTCTCAAACTTTAATGACGGACTTTAAAACTAGTATATCCCCCTTCGCTTTAGGTTTGCTTGTTATTTTAAAGTTAAACTAGTTTGTAGAGGAAAAATGCCTCTATATTTATTTTATTGTAAAGTCACTCAAAATTATTATGGTTTATTTGCAACCCCGTGCACATAATTCAAAACCACAACAAAATGCAATCAGCATATGACAAATATAGTAACGAAAATTAGCTGTAAAACTGTCATAACATTTTACGTGTTTATATAACTGAATAATTCCACTAATTATGTGTAATTTTCAGCACTTCAAACAACTAGAAGAACTTCACATAAGCAACTCGAACATCAACCAAATCGCGATGCACGCTTTTTGGGGCCTGCCCACATTGAAGATCCTCGATTTAAGTTTGAACAACATCAGCTCGGTTTTTGACCACAACTTTCGCGGCTTAGTCAATTTGCTTGAGCTCAACTTGGACGACAACCGATTAACGGCGTTACAAAGCGGCGTGTTCAAACACCTAACGGAATTGAGGATATTGAGTTTGCAAAGGAACAAGTTGCGAGTGTTGGTGCCCAGGACGTTTTTGAAGTTGGTCAAATTGCACGTTTTAAGGATCAACGGTAACAAGTTTGAGGAATTGGATCCGGAAGCTTTCAAAGAAGTAACGGTGAGTTGAAAAATCATTGCCATTTATCAAGTCTTAGAGTAATAAATTTCAATTTTAAATGTAAAATCTTTAGCAGCAGTTTTGCAGTACATAATGTATATTCTTATGTAACTTTAGTGTGAACAGCAAGAACCTTTGAAAATTTGAAAAACTTTGAAGTACCTATCTGAGGCTTATCAATTCAATGTTCTGAAAATTTCAAGAATCTCAAAACTTATGATTTGAGCATTGATTGATTTCGAAAAAATGAATAAGAGTTGCAGCCTTTGAAAACTTTAATCTAAAGAGCTACCTATCTATTTCTGTAGAATCAGGCAAAGGTAAACGTAAAAGAATTTCTGTATATGCAATTGCTTATGTGAAAGGGGTTTATTAATTGGGGCTTCTCTCCAAAATAAAGCGAAATAATGCCATTTGCGGTGAAGGTATTTTGAAGGAACTTTGGTGCCAGTTGGATATTTATCCAATATTTGTTTAATGTAGGCTATCTTTCTCTTTTTTGCTTTGGATGTTCAGTTCCCTCAATTCAAATCCTTCCTTCCTTCACATTCTGAGGCTTATATTTACCAACAAAAACGAACGTCGATTGCTAATACGTCAATTTCATGTACAAATAAGAAATTCCTAACCTAATTTTATTTGTATGTTCAAGAAGAGACATACGTTTAGTCACTAGAATAACTGGTACTTGTAAATAGGTATATAAAAAAAACTATAATATAAATTGCTCAGTTAGGTTACCTATAAACGAGCCTGTAAATGTGTACGTTCTCTTTAAGAATAGTACTGATGAGGTAAATTTGAGACGCAGTACAAGACAACATAAAGCACCTCAACGCTTAGATTTATAGTTATGAAACTTAAATGGGAAGGAAATGTTAGGTATGCCACTGACTACATGATTAAAAGGTTGGTTGGCAACGAAAAATAATAGTCCGGTATAGTTTGAAAGTAGAGTTTACATCAACGTGTCCTACCCACAAGTACGCAAGAGTAGGTAATTGTCCTCATAGTGTAGCTAATAAATCCTAGAAGTTGCCCAGCGTGTTTTCTTTAGTTAGTCAGAAATAAACAACAGCATTCAGTTGAAATATTTTAATTAGGAAACTTTGAGAAACTTGGAGAAATGTGTGTTAACTTATAGAGGAAGTTTGAATTATTTAAACTGTTTTGGGTCTTTGATTCGTCCTGCAAAAATAATTCAGCAAATCAAGAAGCTAGTAACAATCAAAATTTGAATTATTACAGGCTCTTCATTTCAAACATCTTCTTGCCTACAAAATCATAATATTTTTATTGATATTTTGCAGGACTAAATTCTTGGTTACTTGTGGTGTTTGGGGACGTTATTCTACCTTCATACCATTGTTCAAGTTAAATTGCCATCGAATCAATTTCAACCAAAAGTTGGCCAAAAATAAATGTCGTACACACGAAATAGAACATTTCAATAAAACCCCATTATGTGCTCCGGCCATAAAACATTCCTCTACCCAATAAATTCTCATTCTTGTCCACATTCTGCGATTGCCATTTTTCGAATTTATTTTTCTTTCGCAAATCGTAAATCTATAAAAATGAAACGCCACATTGTTTAGTACTGAATTAATACGTATTCTGACCCTAAAATTTGCATCAAATCACACCTCGTCCTTGCGACCCTTTCAAGCTAAATCATTCAATTCCAATTTACATCTGAAATGCTACACTGACCCGTGTATTTGTATTGGATAATCCAATTTTTCAGTGTGTGTGTGTCATTTGAATTTTGAAAAAAGTAGATTACTTACAAGGTCACTGAATATTTCGCTCGTCAGGTTTCCGCCAAATCACAAAGGATCTAGCATCATTAGAGAGCTGAATTGGCATCTGTTTTATGATATTATAAAATTATAAATGTAAATTTGCTCGGAGTTGGTATCTTTAACAATTTAAATCCTTTTTTTTATCGTGGGAATCGGTCATGCAATGAAAACACTAGTTTGGAATTTGTTACGTTTCGGTTTTATTAACCATCATCAGACAAAAAAAAATTCTAAAAAACATTTACATCATGAGTGGCAACCAAAATGTCTTCCAAGTACATTATTATTTTGTTTTTCCTAATTAATGGGCTAAACACCTTTTGGGTTAAACGGAAAAATACTTTTGGAAAGTAACATAAACCCATTGGCATCCTAAAGTATTGGTACTGTCCCATAGGAGTGACAAAAGAAGTGTATGGAACAGACTCTGTGATGGAACTAGCTATTGCCCCTTTTTGGGCTTTAGTCAAACCGCACCAGAGATGCCAAAAGTTTTTTACTTTGACTGACTGACTTTAAGCCTTGTATTGAGTTAGGGGTGCCTTGATTCTCAATTATACAAATAAAACGCTGAAATAGAATAGTTATTAATTTAATTAATAAATGAAAGAAATTCGGTATAGTCAGTAATCAAATCTTATCTAAAAATTCCTAATTGGACGTCCAGTCGAACTACAAATTTTATACTAATCTAAAGTAAGTTTTCTAAAGTTGATTTATAAAAAGTAGGGAAATCTGGTAATGATAATAATATCATTTATGGTTAAAAAAGGGTTCAATGAACGAGAACATAAATTAACTAATTAAATGCACGAGAGCACAACATAAATAATTCGTCAACTTCAATCAGTTCACTGCAATCACAAAATGTTTATTGTTCCTTGAAAGTTCTTTAATTTATTGAGAGTTAACAATTTGAGCACTTTTCTGCTGAAATCTGTAAACAATATGTGCAAGAAAAGTCTTTTTATATGCTCAGTTTCAATATACAAATGTACGAATCCCAAACATAGCAAAACCAAATTTCTGCATTAAACGTTAGAAAACACTTCAATCTATAGTGCATTTCAAGCGAATCTGTTAGAGAAATTGTAACGGTCTTACTTGCTTAATCCAGTTCATGCAGATAAATCCACAAGGGGATTATTTATCCATTTATCACCACTATTCACACTGGCAGCTAGGGAATTTTTCACTGAGATGAGAAGAAAATAGAGATAGAGTCAAAAACAAGCGTAGGAGAGAATTTTGCTCGTCCGTGGTGACTTGCAAGAATTAGGGGTTAATTACATAAATTGTAATCAAGGCCTTGAGACACAAGGAGTAGTATTTTACTATAAATCGCGCGTACTAACGGGGGTTTTTGGGGGTTTTTCCTTTGGGGAGCATTCAGAGGGCGCGAGGGTGCGAACTCTTCGCTTATTCTAATAGTACTGTAAAATGTGCGTTGACTAGACTCTACCAGGGGAGCAGGTCGCAAAAATCTAGAAAACAATGTGGCGACTGACCAATCACAGCAGCGAGAAAGGTCCACTGCCTTATAAGGTAATGAAGAAACCTGTAATTTTACCGATTCAAAAGGTTGTTGTTGCCGGTTTTACAGGATAAATAGTCTAGCAATAGCATCTATTTTTAGAATATCATTTTTATGGTAAATAATAGAGAAGAAAATTATTAGAAATAATAAAAATTAAACCTGTTGTGGATTATTACCGCAACAGACTCTTTGTTGAGTTTCACATGGTAAAAGCCATGGGGAAAGCCAAAGGGAAATTAAATTTCAGAAAATGGAAATTGTAATTCAGAATAGGAAGGTATTATTCAGAATATGGAATTTGAAATTCAGAGAAGGAACATAGTATCCAGAAATGGGAATTTGTAATTCAGGATAGGAATATGTAATTCAAAAAGGGGAAATTTAATTCTAGAAAATGTAAATTGTAATTCATATATGTAATTTTGGAAATCGAAAATAGGAAAATGTTATTCAGAATTGCTAACATATGATATCTATGAGTGTCTTTTTTCAATTTTTAATTTTGTGTCAGTAAACACGGGATTGCTTTCCCCGTTTATTAATTTATCGTCAGTAGAGTTTTACATAAAAATTTTCTTTGCGAATCCAAATAAAAAAATCGTATTCATACAATTTTTTTATTCAGTAAGTAACCTATACTTGAGCACATAATTAAATTTTGATGAAAAGTGTTAAAAATTAACATACTTCTAAAAAAATTACCAGAAAGTAAGTTGATAACTTAATTTCCTTAAATGCAATTCAAAATTTCAGTCACTGGCCAACTGGCATATCCTCTAATGCTAGCGCCAGGGCATAGAAGGTGGTTGAGTGTTGGGTGGCTCTCTCACTCTCTGTACCTGTGCTCTATATCTCAGTACATAGCTTATCGTAAGGTGCATATTATACTTTATCTGAAATTAAATTTTCACCTTCTGAAATACAATTTCCCTTTTCTAAATTATAATTTACAGTTTCTGAATTTCAATTCACCATTCTGAATTACAATTTTATTACTATTCTGAATTTCAACTTCCTAATCTGAATTTAATTTTCCTTATTCTGAAATTAAAGTTACGATTCTCAAATTCAATTTCTCTTTCCTGAATTATAAGTTCCTACTCTTAAAAACATATTCCCTTCTCTGAAATTAAACTTTGATTTTCTGAATTACAATTGAAAAAGGTGTAAAATTTGTTTGTTTTTTTTAAAGATAAAAGTCAAATTTTGTTAAAATTTTCGAGGTCGATTATCTCGAAAAAGGTGCCCCGTGGAGGGATACTTCTTATGAGCTTTTTTGTAGTATTCAACGAGATCTACAAGTTTTGAGTTTGAAGTTTTCCTCCCGGGCTTTTCGTTTTCAAGTTAGAACACTTTGAAAATTAAAAAAAAAAAATTGGAAGGATAAATGTAATTTTAGCTATATTTGTTTTCAAGTTTCGCCCTCGTATCACTCATACCCTTATTCAGTTAATGGATTCTTAAAAAACATTCACTTAAACAAATATTGAGATATTGAACACAAAAGGCTTTCAAAATATTTTGATATTCAACTTGATAATGCATCTTTTTGAAATTGAAATTTTTCTGCTTTACTTTTATAAACTTTGGTACAATATTAAGATTTTTACATCTCGTTGGAAAGTTCTGATTGTAGTAAAACATATATTGAACAAACA